ACACAACACTTCAACACTTGAATTGATTGAACGCTTTGTTGTAATGATTGTAATGAACAGCGAATTGAGTGTTGAATCCAGTGTTCATTCAAATGAGTATTTATGAGTCAATTATGACATCAGTATTGGAAAAGTGTTCGCAATGTTTGTCTCGACCACTCATTTGTGCTGTGCTTTCAATGCATTCATTCAATCATTCATTTCATTGAATACATTAATGATGTGTTGAGGCATAAGATGGAGACAACATATCATTGCAATGCTAAACACATTCAGACAGTGAAACACTCTCTCTATGTTTGCCAACCCTATTGTCAATCAATATGAACCCCGAAAACCCCCCAAACATAGACAACATTACTTCAGTCACTGCACTGTACTTTCTGTCACCCATTCATTCGCTGTACGATTACAGCGGCGTTGCGTTAATCTGTATTACATTTGCATAGATATTGAATCATTGATTAACAGGTATTACAACTCAAACTTCAATCACAATCAATGGGTTTGACGTTTGAATCGCTATATAATTGACAACTATTTTTGTCATACGTTCACTAAAAGTGTAGTAAATTGTGTTTAAAACTCAAATCTAAACACAAATTGAATGCAAATTTAGTCATGAAATTGAGTGATAAAGTGATGAGACGTTATTCATGTATATCTGTATTACACGTCGTGTTTGTAATACAAAAACAAAACTTCAATCAAAATATATATTTTTCAATATTTATTAATCGTTTAATTGGTTTTAGTTTTAATTAACTGTTAATTAATTGATTACAAAATTTTTATGACTTAATAAACAGTTGTTTTGATAAATGCGAGCAAAGATTGACTGAAAATCTGATGAAATGAGTGAAAAATAACAACAAAAAAATGATGAAATCTTAAAATAAAATCTGAAATTTATTTTAAACTCAGGTTTTGTTTACGAAAATATGGACTGAAATCCGTATATAATATAAGAGTTATATATTTTTGTGATAAATATTTTGGTGAAAAGCGAAACAACATATGATTTAATGAATAATCAAATGGTTTTAAATGAGAAACAATTGATTGAAGGCTTTGGAGACGAAGTGGTGTTATTTGGCGTGACTTTCACTGTCATTGCGATCACAACACTGTTTGTTGTGTTTAAACGGTATTTGTTTTTATTAACACATTATTTAATATATGATTTAATCTGTCGATTATATTGTCGTTTGTATCGTAATCTCATTGGATCTGCTCTTTGACACCACTGTCTGTATGGAGAGACCGACAAAACGAGTATAAACTACAGTCGATAGCATTGATAATGAGACCCATAATGTTGTGTAACACAAGCTGTAGTACAACTTGAATATGAATTTATAAATAACTTTATTTGACAATTAATGCGATAATGAGTTTACATGTCATTTATGAGAGAGTAAATTGAGTTTAAAATGTATGCCAATATTTAATTGAAGGTTAGATTATAGATGTATTGGCCTTCAGTCCACAGACTCATGAATTGATCGTTTAATTTGATTGTCATTTAATGAGAGATGAATTAATCGTATAAACCATATGAGAGAGAGAGAGAGAGAGAGAGAGAGAGAGAGACGAAGAACTGAATGCCTTTAACATCTGATATCTCTAACCCTTGAGCGAAGACTAAGTCTTAAGTCCTTTTAGATCTTAACACGACTCATGTCTTATCTTTTAATGAATTTTTTAAAAGTGATAATTAATTTAATAAAAAGAAACAGCAAAAAGTTTTAAGACTGAGTTTTATTTAAATATATCATTTCTAATGTCTGATACATTTTAACTGAATATAAATGTTGTGATAATATAGGTGTCGAAGTGCTTATGAGAATCGGATCCATCCATCAAACGAGTCTGCGGTGAACGAAACGCGCGAACAATTATCGCAATTATTTTCCGATCGCTTCATAAGAAATACGGACAATAATAATGAAAATAATGTTAATTTAGTCAATTCTAATCACTACGGAATGGATAATCACTGTCCCGTCTGTTTAAATGAACCCCGATTTCCCATCGAAACCAATTGTGGACATCTCTTTTGTGGTATATTTGCATCATTTTATATTATTTATATAAATATTATAATTTATAATTAGAAATTATAATTTATTTATTAATTAATTTAGTTTTTTAAACCAGTTATGAATGATATATCAGAATATATGCTGATTAAGTTGATAGTTTAGAAATAATTCTTATAAGCAATTTATAATAATTAAAAAATAGTTTATTTGATATAATAATTTTGTAATACATTTTTAATGTTCACATTTGATACAAGTATGAATTGCCGTTAACTACAGTAACTTTAGTTATAATTATAACTTAAGAATCTTGAGAATATTTTGGAAAATTTTAGTACATTTTGTAGTCATTAAACAGACACTAACTTTGAAATACAAGTCTATCAGATATACCGTTATCTCTAATGCCCTAATTTGTTATATGTTTGTCTCTCTATTTATAAATAACACCCAAATAATGAGTTATATATTAAATATTAACAATTAATGTTATGATTGCCAACATATAGCGCAATGTCTGATCGTGTATTGGCGTCACGGGCAGTGGAGGGGCGGCCCAATCAAGTGCCCGGTGTGTCGGCAACAGGTGAGCATATTGTTGCAGTGCTTCCCTCCGAGTACCACAGTATCCGAAGAAGAACTCAATGAAAGGGCGCGTATTTTGCATGACGTGAATGATTATAATAGAAGATATTCAGGAGCGCCCC